AATAATAATGGAGAAATGCCAGATCATATAAGATCCTTGATACCGCAACATCCCTCTTCACAGTTAACAAATAATAATGATAATGGAAAAATGCAAGATCAAATCAGATTGTTATTGAAATAAATCCTGGTGTGATAGGACTATCATTGAACCCCCTATAAATCACGACCGCATTAAGCCTAACGCATTTATTCCATACCTAACACTCCTCTCCGTTTTTATACTATCTTTTCCTTAGTTGTTATGGGCTTTCATCGAAAGGGTGCGGTGCGGTGCGGCGCGGTGTGGTGTGCTCAACGCACCGATTCGATGAAAGAGGGGGGGGGGGGGGGGGCTTTTCTCGAAAGGGTGCGTTGAGAGCGGAGTACCGTTTTAACACACCCTTTCGATAAAAGCGGGGGGCTTTCTCGAAAGGGTGCGTCGACTAGTCTTTCGCATCAGTCGTTTAAAATGAGGATCTGGGACAGAAGGTAATAGAGTTGCTAATTTAAGTATATCGATAATTTATTAAATAAAATGGAATGGTCTTGATTACAGAGTGGTCTCTTTCGTTATTATTATGTTGATGGGGGAGACAGAGAGAAGGAAAAAAGGGAAAGGGAAAGGGAAGATAAAAGGAAAGAAAGAAGAATAAGAAGAAAAGAGGGAAACGGGGGGGGGGGCGAAGGGCTCTTGCCTCCTCCTCATCCCCCCCTCCCCCGCCAAAAAATAAATAAGAGAGAGAGAGAAGACAAAGGGAAAAGGAAAGAAAATATAAAAGGAAAGAAAGAAGAGGAAGAAGAATAAGAAGAAAAGAGGGGAACGGGTGCGAAGGGCTCTTGCCTCCTCCCCCCTCCCCCGCCAAAAAATAAATAAGAGAGAGAGAGAGAGAGAGAGATTGGAAAGCGAAAGGGAAAGAGAAGATAAAAGGAGAGAAAGAAGAGGAAAAAGGAAAGAAGAAAAGATGGAAACGGGGGCGAAGGGCTCTTGCCCCCCCCGCCAAAAATAAATAAGAGAGAGAGAGAGAGAGAGAGAAGGGAGAGGGAAAAAAATATAAAAGGAAAGAAAGAAGAGGAAGAAGAAGAAAAGAGGGAAACGAGGGAAGGGCGGAGGATTCTTGCCTCCCCCCCGCCAAAAAATAAATCAGAGAGAGAGAGAGAAGGGAAAGGGAAAGAAAATATAAAAGGAAAGAAAGAAGAGGAATAAGAAGGAAAGAGGGAAACGTGGGAAGGGCGAAGGGCTCTTGCCTCCTCCCTCCCCACCCCCTCCCGCCAAAAAATAAATAAGAGAGAAAGAGAGAGAGAGAAGGGAGAGGGAAAGAAAAATCTAAACGGAAAGAAAGAAGAGGAAAAAGAATAAGAAAAGAGGGAAACGGGGGCGAAGGGCTCTTGCCTCCTCCCTCCCCCGCCAAAAAAAAAAATAAGAGAGAGAGAGAGAGAGAGAGAGAAGGAAAGGGAAAGAGAAGATAAAAGGAAAGAAAAAGAGGAAGAAGAATTTGTGTCCTGCCAGTGTCACAAATAGGTATAAAAATATGCTTATCTGACGATAATTTGATGTATAAAACCCCTCACCTTCTTGGGGCTCCGTCCCTTGGATCCAACACCAATTTGTGTCCTGCCAGTGTCACAAATAGATATAAAAATATGCTCATCTGACCGTTATTTATTGCCCAAAACCCCTGAGCTTCCTGGGGCTCCACCCCCTTGACCCCACGCCAATTCGTGACCCCTGTGTCACAAATAAGGTATACAATAATAATAATTTAATGTACAAAACTCCTGAGCTTCTGGGGGCTCCGTCCCCTGGACCCAACACCAAATTGTGTCCTGCCACTGTCACAAATAAGGTATAAAATTATGCTCATCCGACATTAATTTTGATGTTTAATACCCCTGAGCTTCAGAGGGCTCCGCCCTGTGAAAAAACGTGTAAAAAAAACACGTTATTGAATTTTACCGTTTTTGGGAGATAGCCCCCCCCTCCCTGGCGTTCAAGGGGGGGGGGGACGATTTTTCAAATTTTCGAGGGCCCCCCAAAAAGTTTAGTGCTCTCTAGTAATTTCGCGACTACTCCGGAACCGCGGCAGATATAAAGTTTTTCTTTCATGACTTTTTTCTTTCGAGTCTTACGCATCTTTTGAAACATTTTTTTGTTGAAAATTTGACGTATAGTTGCGGAGTCACGTGACCTTTTGTTTTTGCATGTCAGCCCTAAAATCGCTCATTTTTGTGATTTATGTACCAAACATATGGAAATACCATTTATTCTTTTAAAAAGAGAAAACATTGGTTATTTGGTCTTGTTTTCAAGTTAATGTGTTTGTTTTTGGGTCAAAATAGTTGAATTGTGGTTAGAAATGAAATAAAACAACAAAACAATATAATACATAAATACAAATTATCAAAACAAGAGATAACATAGGGATAAACTGGTTCTTCCAACTTTGTTGTCGTATTATTATTCTTACAAATATATGTAGTGAAAAAGAACGCTTGAATATGAATTATATATGATTTATGGGTAAAAATGTGTATTCTCTGACTTTGTTTGCATAAATTACCATAAATATGCAAATGAGTAAATTTTTCAAATAATTAAAATCACCATAGTTTTGTATACACTTCACTTGACATGCATGCATATTTTCGCGGCGATCGGCTGTGAAACGGCCGAGATCTTAGGGGGGACCCCCCCACCCTCAAGTCTACTCCAATCACATTGAAAAAAGTATGACTTAAATCATCTCTCTCATCATTATACCGCTATAGTATTCATGTTTTTAATATTATTCATTATCCTTCCATTAAACAAGTTCCTAGAGAAAATACTTATCTCTCTGCAACATTAAAAAAGAATCTTAATTAATATGTCTTAATTTGTATTGATAGCCTTGTGGTCGCCAACAGTGGCGTAGGTAGGGGCGTCTCCAAAGGGGGATGTGGGGGTGCGACACCCCCCCACCTGTCAGGATATTGTCGGTAAAATTGCGCTGCCGTCGGGAAAAAAGAGAAAAGGGGGAGGGGAAAAAAGAGAGGGAAAGGAAAAAGAAAAAGAAAGAAAGAGAAAAACGAAAAAGAGGGAAAATAGGAAAGAAAGGAAAAGAAAGAAAAAAAAGGAGGCAAGAGCCCTTTGCCCCCGTTTCCCTCTTTTCTTCTTCTTCCTCTTCTTTCTTTACTTTTATCTTCTCTTTCCCTTTCCTTCTCTCTCTCTCTCTTATTTATTTTTTGGCGGGGGGGGGGGGGGGAGGCAACAGCCCTTCGCCCCCGTTTCCCTCTTTTCTTCTTATTCTTCTTCTTCTTCTTATTTTCCTTTTATATCCTCTTTCCCTTTCCCTTCTCTCTCCCTCTCCCTCTCTTATTTATTTTTTGGCGGGAGGGGAGGGGGGGGGGGGGAGGTAAGAGCCTTTTGCCCTTCCCCCGTTTCCCTCTTTCCTCCTTCTTCCTCTTCTTTCTTTCCTTTTATATTTTCTTTCCCTCTCCCTTCCCTCTCCCTCTCTTATTTATTTTTTTGGCGGGAGGGGGGAGGCAAGAGCCCTTCGCCCTTCCCCCGTTTCCCTCTTTCCTTCTTCCTCTTCTTTCTTTCCTTTTATATTTTCTTTCCCTTTCCCTTTCCCTTCTCTCTCTCTCTCTTATTAATTTTTTTGGCGGGGGAGGGGTGAGGAGGAGGCAAAAGCCCTTCGCCCCCCCCCCGTTTTCCTCTTTTCTTCTTATTCTTCTTTCTTTCCTTTTATCTTCCCTTTCCCTTTCCCTTTTTTCCTTCTCTCTGACTCCCCCATCAACATAGTAATAACGAAAGAGACCACTCTGTAATCAAGACGGCGTAAATATTCATAATTGAACGATCCACGCCCTTAAAACTAAAACAACAACAACAACCATTCCATTTTATTTAATACATTTTCGATAAACTTAAATTGGCAACTATTACCTTCTGTCCCAGATCCTCATTTTAAACGACTGATGCGAAAGACTAGTCGACGCACCCTTTCGAGAAAAGCCCCCCCCCCTCTTTTATCGAATGGGTGTATTGAGCACACCACACCGCGCCGCACCGCACCGCACCCTTTCGATGAAAGCCGTTGTTATGGGCGTTCCAAACACAATCGTTTGCTTTCCGGGTTTTCGCCTCCAAATCAAAGCAAAATTTTATCCTTGTGATTTACCATCGGAAAGAAGAAAAACGGAGGCAAGGCGTTACTGAACTTGAGCTCTATAGGAATTACAGAAAGATACTGACATTGATTTTGAATTTATTAAAAAAAAAGTGTTTTTGACCCCTTTATCATAATGCCATATTTAAGCAAAACTATCATAATATGCAAATTATTAACCAACAAAATGTGTAAAATATCAAATTACAAGCAAAGAAAATGAACAAGTTATTTGATGCCCACAGGTGGGGCAAAGGTGGGCTGGGGGAAGTTCTGATAAATTCTCTTTTCTTTTTTGCAATTTCTTAATTTGTTTAGAAGTATCATAGGCCCTATAATATACTGAATGTATGTTTAACATAAAAACATGTAATACAATAACGTATTATCATGGTGTAAAGTTTAGATAAGTTATACGCGAAATTGAAGATTTCGAGTGAAAGATGACACTTAACCTTCTCCTTTATTGTAGAGTTTTCGAGGGTTGAGCCTCGATTGTAAAATTCGGATAAATGGAATATCCAGCACTTGGAATGGACACCTGGAAGCAGGATCGCAATTGGGGTGCCGAAGGAAGGAAAGACAACTATGGCGGGAGGGGGGGGGGGGGGGGTAAAAGACAAGCGAAATTCAACACGCTTTTATTTAATGGAGCAGAAGTTCTACACTTTTACATACTTGTCTTTATTAATTTGAGACTTTCTAAAAAGTATCCGCTTCATAAAAAATTATCCATTATCAATACAATTCTTGAAAATATAATATGGCTCTCCCCGGAGAGTGAATGGAACATTCTGAAATTTTCGTATCAAGCCAATATTTAGAACAAAGATTTGCCAGCATACTCTCATTGTCTGGCTGGTGACTAGGAGAGACACCACTTCAACCTTCAGCTCAAGCGTCAACTTAATTAGACTGCGTCCATGAGTTACCAGGGCCTACAGATGAAGGCCTTTGTTGCCGTCTGTGCTCTCTGCTTCCTAGCCAGACAAACGACTGGTAAGAGAACCTAATTTCAAACCTTCCTGTTACGTATCATTGATTCATCAATTAATATTAAAATTATGAGAATGTTTTCAAATTCCAAGGATTTTCATTTTAACAGCAACTACATGACAAAGGTTTTGGCATAGCAGAGTATAAGAAATAATGTAACATTATGGTCCAGGAGTTGAGGTAACTACTTGACATGCTCAGTTATGATAATATAGCCCGAATTGAGATAGCTTGCATTGTATGTTCATTAACCTTTTGAATTCTTTTTAATGATGAATTTTCATTTATTGATAGGTTAATAATTATTAGAAACCATTTTATTGGCTGACAAGCTATCACGTAACTCTCAACATTTACATAGAATTCGACGATATTTGTCACTGAAAGCAAAGAATAGGGTATGTTTCAGGACAGTAGGAATCCCACGGACATATTTAATGATACAGAAAAGCTAAGTGTTATCAACTTTCCCTCGGGAATGTTATTTCAATATTTTACTTACATACCATTCCTTTTGTAAAAAACTATGATTCATTTTGTAAGAAATATTATCTCCGTCCAAGAAGATAATATAATTTCGTTTTCAGCAACTAAGGAATATATTTCATTTCAAACTTTGCCATCCTTCCGAAAAAGAATACAAGTACTGTTATCATACAGCTTTTTACCCGGATCATTTTCCTTACTAGCTAATTTTGCCAGGGACATATAAGATATCAAGAGTCCCGGTATTGTTATTGTGTAGACAGTGCGTATAACAAAAGTGTACCCAAATTTGATAGCTCCTAATTAAACATAAAATCTAATAATGTCTGCTGTACCAAAGAGCAAACAAATCAATTCTTTGGTTGGAAACTAAATTATCTTTTAAGTTGGCGGCAACTTTGAAGTGGGCAACTCAAAACAATAGTATGCCAGTGTTTCATAAAAACATGTAAATTAACCATTGAGAATGATGTAATTAGTTTTTTTATTCATTCCACCCACTCCTTTACCAGAAGGCAGTGGAGTAAGTTGGCTATTCCACAGTTGCTAACTAAAGATTTTAGTTGACTACAAGGGCCTAGTTGAAAACTCCATTAGTGAGGTTTTTATGAATATTGGCCCAGAAGGCACGCAATGGCTAGTTATAAACTAGATGAGTTAGTTGGATACTCCATTGGTGATAACTAGGTATTTTAGTTGAATACTAGGGTCTAGTCGCCAAATACCTTACCAAGGTTTGTGAATATTGGCCCAGGTTATTATTTTATATCAAACAGAAGAACATGAACTTGCCTAATAATATTCGACAAATTATACAAATAGCGTTCAATACAACAAAATATAAGAACCGACAAGTGAGAATTTCCGAGTGATGTTATATTTCACAGAGGCTGCGGGCCGCGGTAGAAATATGATGGATGAGTGGAATTCTGCATTTGGAGGTGAATATATGGTATTGCATTAATTACGTGTTAATTGTGCCTGTTTTGTAATTCATGAATACACATTATATTTCGCACCATTGGATTTTCAAATAAATACTTTCAAAATGACGTGATGAATTAATGTCAAGATATCACAGTCGAGGAATTCATAGCAATTTCGAATTCACTCGTTCACGTATATCTTTCGGCCATTCCTGAATTAGGTTGTTCTGTTTTCAGGAATGGCCGAAAGTATAGCAGGAGCGGCGAATTCTTTGGTCATAACCGAGATGGGGCGGACATACACGAGGTAACTGTTACCGTTCGGTGAATGGTCTGGCAATACCCCCTCTCTAGGAATAGGAATTCCATGTTGTAGAATAAAAACTTCACATTTAGCGACGCCATGCAGCATAGGTATATAGGCACTAGGAATTTCTATCATTTTTTGCGAGGTCAATATTTTATATTTTCAAATCAAAAAGAATTTTGTTATGGCCACAATGAGCCGCTTCCAGGCGCGGATCCAGGATTTTCCAATAGGGGGGGGGGGGGGGCCGGAAATTTGAAAATTGCGCAGACCATTTTTTCAACTCAACATACCAATACTGACAAGGTCATATTAGAAGCACGATACCAGTAGAATTTTTGACATTTTCATCGGGGGGGGGGGGGGGGGCTATAGCCTCTTGCCCGGAAAGTAATTTTCTGGTTTCACAATTCGAAAAAGTGAGCGAAGCGAGCGAGCAACAATAATTTGTGAAAGTGTTATTTATCACCAAAATAAACGAGAAAAGATATCAAAAACTCATATTCGGGCAGCTCGCTGTCTCCCCCCCTCCATTACGCGCGAAGCGCGGAAGCTTTGAACCTTCATTAATTGTTACTAGAGAAGGAAGACGATTTGTTGTACCATTCTCGACTTTTAATCCTTGTCTGAATTCAGTTTCCTCCCGCCCGCGCGAAGCGCGGAAGCTTTGGCCTTTCATTAATTATTAGAGAAAGAAGAAGATTTGTTGTAACATTCTCGACTCTTATTACTTGACATTTTCGACCCTTAATCCTTCTCTGAACTAAGTTTCCCCCCCCCCCTCCCGCGCGAAGCGCGGAAGCTTTGGCGTTTCATTAAATTATAAGGGAAAGGAGACGATTCTTTGTACTATTCTCGACTCTTTATCCTTGTCTGAATTCAGTTTTCCCCCGCCCGCGCGTAGCGCGTAAGCTTTGACGGTTTATTAAATTATTAGAGGAAGAAGACGAATCGTTGGACCATTCTCGTCTCTTAATTCTTGTTTGAATTCAATTTTCCCCATCCCGCGCGAAGCGCGGAAGCTTTGACGTTTCATTAATTATTAGAGAAAGAAGAAGATTTGTTGTACCATTCTCGACTCTTATTACTTGACTGAATTCAGCCCCCCCCCCCGCCTACCGCGCGAAGCACGGAAACTTTGGCCTTTCATAGTTTAATGAAATTATTAGAGAAAGAAGACGATTCTTTGTACCGTCCTCGACTCTTTATCCTTGTCTGAATTGAGTGCTTTGACGTTTCATTAAATTATTAGAGAAAGAAGACGATTCGTAACTCTTAATCCTTGTCTGAATTGAGTTCCGCCCGCCCCCCTCCCGCGCGAAGCGCGGAAGCTTTGTCGTTTCATTAAATTATAAGGGGAAAGGAAACGATTCTTTGTACCATTCTCGACTCTTAATCCTTGTCTGAATTCAGTTTTTCCCCGCCCGCGCGTAGCGCGTAAGCTTTGACGTTTCATTGAATTATTAGAGAAAGAAGATGATTCGTTGTTCCATTATCGACTCTTAATCCTTGGCTGAATTCAGTTTTTCCCCGCCCGCGCGTAGCGCGTAAACTTCTGACGTTTCATTAAATTATTAGACAAAGCAGACGATTCGTTTTACCATTCCTTGTCTGATTTCAGTTGCCCCCCTTCCGAGCCAAGCGCGGAAGCTTTGACATTACATATAATTATTAGAGAAAGAAGACGATTCGTTGTACCGTACTCGACTTGTCAGAATTTTTTTTGGTATTCTTTGTCTGCTCCTTTTTCGTCTTATGTCCTCTTCCTGCCCCTACCGCCCCTGGCTACGCGCCTGCTTTAAAGGGAAAATGAAACAATCATGATTGTGATAGCACACAATTAGGTTAGTAGAAATGAAAGGGAGAAAAGATCTATTACACTAACCATGGATAAATCACGGCCGGGAGCGTCATATCATAGTTTTGTGTTATCGGGCGAGGGCCGGGGCGTAGCAACCAAGCAAGATTTTGCAATGTTGAAATTATGCATTCTAGAAAATTCCGCTATATTTCTTTCTAGCTATATTTCTAAATTTCCTGAGGGACGTGTCTCCCTATCGGGCCCAGGATTGCCGCCCTGTCCATGATTACTACCAACATGAGTTCAAATACAAACACGAGCGAGTTGGTATGAGCTGAATTCAAATGAAGGGCAAAATAAGAGTAATGAAGCGGCCCAACCGTTAATTTAAAATTTGACTGTTGAGTATATAGCTTCTATTTAAAAGTTGGGCTTTCTTCTTTATCTTTTCTTTTTTCTTTTCTCTTCTCTTCCTTTTTCTTTTCCCTTCTCCTTTCTTTTCTCTTCTCCTTTTTTTCTTCTCCTCTTCTCCTTTTTTTTCTTCTTTTCTTCCTCTTTTTTTCTTCCTTTTTTTGCGCCGCCAATAGTGGGGCCGCGGCCGTTTCGGCCCCCCCCTGGATCCGCCACTGGCTTCAACCCTCTCGGGTTTACTCTCACGAATACGTCTAGTTTGTGATATTTCAGCGGGTCGACCCGACTGATTTGTATGGAAAAAAAGACTATTTTCTCCAAACAGATCAGTGGTCGACCCCAACAAAAATAAAAATAATAATAATAATAAAAGTGTTACTTATAAAGCGCTTACCACCGAAGTCTCTAAGCGCTAAAAAAAAAAAAATTGTCACTGCTGCCTGCTCGCGATCGTATATATGCGTACGTAAAAGCCTGCGTCTGTGGAGAAGATGAGCTGCAAGCGCCCCTCTCAAGTATGAAACTACCTATAATGCCATCCTTTTGTAAATGTTAGCCGGGTTGACAATAATAAAACATAGTCGAAACCAGAATCCTGATAATTCATTTATTTCAGCTACAACACGAACTTTATCTAGCCATGGCCTTAACATAACCGATAAACATGTTTTTTCATTCTTTCAAGGGTGCCAGGAAATTCCTTGAATTTATGATTAAATTATTTCCTGTTTAAAACATTCATCAATTCACATCCCCGTATCCAGATGTCATTCAAATACAATCTAAAATCAAAACACACGCCTGGATTACTTCAAACAGTGTATAAAATAAAATGAATGAAGAATATTGTGTGCCCTTATTCCTCAACCTTTGGATCCATTAATCAGTTCCGAATTTACAGGTGGCATTATGAGACCTGCCACCTGTCATAAGGGATGAAGAAAAGGGGCAGCAAGGGAAGAGAGAGAGAGAGAGAGAGCGAGAGAGAGGAAGAGAGGGGGGTGGAGAGATCGAGAGAGAGGGAGAAATGAGAAAGGGGTAAGGGGCAACGTGGAAGACGATATGCCATCCGCCTCTTACTCGACGGGCAACCTAAAGCTAGTACACTTTGATTAAACCAACGAGGTACCAATACCTGAGTATTGGGATATGTGGGGAGGAAGCTATTATGGATGTCTGCCGGGGCCGATTTGCTGCATGTTGATTAAAAAGGACTCCAAAATATGTTTTATTTTCTAGAGCTATTTTTTACATTGTACCCGTATTATCCAGCGGATCGACCTTGAAGTGGTCTCTAGGAGACATGTCACTCGATCTTTGTTAATTAATATGTATGCTAATTAATTACCCTGCGAGTCTCCAAGTGCGGAAGCCTTTCTTAGCTTTTATCAATAAGTTTCCTGTAAGGTGTATGGTATCTGCCAGAAAACAATGGGCTAACTATCATAGTACAAAATATTTTGAAAAGATTGCTGTGAAATTTTTCGAACCCCGATTCTGTATTTTCTAAATTCATAATATCTTTGATCTTAATGTACAGGAACGCCTGCCTGTAAGCTTGATCCTACAGGGGTCAACTACAGAGGGAACGTATCTCAGACGTTATCTGGTCGCACCTGTCAACAATGGACCTCGCAGTACCCCCACGATCACACCAGGACCCCCTCTGAATACCCCAATACAGGGCTTGGAGGACACAACTATTGCAGAAACCCAGACAATGTCTTCACTGCTTGGTGCTATACCACTGACCCTGAGGTTAGATGGGAGTATTGTGCTGTAGGTGACTTTGACCCAGAGTGTACCATCACTCCCCTAGCTGGAGGTTAGTTTATGAATAATGTCTTTAATCTTGAATTAGATGCACCCAGAAAGCTTCCTTAAAGTTGCCAGGGTGTCCAGGTCGGAATTATAGTTCTTGTAAATTTGATTGTTTTGACCAGCATTTTCTTGTAAGCAAATGTTAAGAAAAGCAAAGTTTTACCCCCGACTTTAAGCATCCATATAATTATAATTAAGAGCCATTCAGAGGATGACATTAATTGACAATTACGTACTGCGTTCACTTGGTCCAAGCCATAGACAGTCAAAGACTACATTTCTACCCACTGAGCTTTAGACGTATTTTCTTGATTGATTGGCAAACCGGACTAGCTGGCGACCAAAGTAAGTTAGCTATAATGAAGCATAGGTAATTACAGCTATGTTAAGGTTAGAAAATAAGAGGGCGATATGTTTAGCTAGTTGATGGGAGTTATATGTGATAATCATGATGCTGGCAAACTGTAGCAGGCCGAAAGATCAGTTGGATCCCCGGCCTCAATAAAACAAAACATTCCTAGATACTAAAATAGATGACATAGTCATTATTGTGATTAAGATGCGATGCTAAAATGCGTGAATGAAGATCGAATGCTACATAATTGGGTTCCATGGATTTTTCTAAAAAAGACGAAATGATCAAAAGTGAAGTCAGTAGACTGTTGTATAGCATCATCAAATTATAATGTCTTCTGATTGACCGGTGCGCCCTTTTACCCCTGTTCCACTTCACCCCTCCCATGTTGCCGATTTTACATTTGCTGTTTGTTTTCTAATCCCTAAACATGATTTTGATAGGACTATCAGAGTGCTACCTGTTATCAAACGCAACTGACTACAGGGGAAATATATCGGTGTCCCGCAATGGCCATACATGTCAGCAGTGGAGCGTCCAGACACCTCATGAGCACAACTACGCCCCTTCTGACTACCCCAATGATGGTCTTGGTGACCACAATCTCTGCAGGAATCCAGGGGGAAGTGGTGACATGGTTTGGTGCTATACGACTTCCCCTACTCGCTGGGAGTTCTGCAACATCGGAGTGCCCCGTGAAAATTGCAACGAGGAAACAACTACTGCAGAAACAACAAGTGTTCCTACTCCTCCGACTCCTGAAACAGGTAAGACATATATACAAGTAAAGGTAATCTTGCAGGTGGAGATCAGCTTTGAATATGCTAACTTAACCCTGATCTATTCCCATGTTATTTGATATACTTATATCGAACGGTGATTTCTTTTTATAATGATATCGCATCATGCAGAGACTCCAACTCTCCCACTCTTGACGGAATTACAGTACAAATCACATTTTTATCCTCATATACTCATCCCCTTATATACGTGAAAAGAGAGTAGGGATGTAGGTAAACGGCCTTGCATAAGAATATACATTTGTTTCACAAGATTTCATACTAGGTATTCAACCTGTGAGGTTTACAGGTCCAGTCAACGCTTAATTTACTTGACACCTCTAAACTGATCACCCTAAATGATAGCAATATCGAGGAAAGTCGCATGATGAGAACTTTGAGAAATTTAGAAATAAAATGCCTGGATATAATTTTTGTCTTCTTCATTTTGAAAGCTACCACCACAGGATCTCCAGAGTGCCAGCAGGACCCATCAGGGGCCACCTACAGAGGGGAGGTGTCTCACACGGTTTCTGGACGTACCTGTCAGAAGTGGACCCTCCAAGCACCCCATGAGCACAACAGGACACCGGAGGAGTACCCTAACAGCGGGCTGGGAGACCACAACTATTGCAGAAATGTGGGGGCTTCCTCCTTCACTGCATGGTGCTACACCACCGATTCAGACGAGCGATGGGAGTACTGCCCTGTCGGCACCTATGAGCCCGAATGCATGGCACATACAACATTGAGTGAGTTTCAAAAGTCGCAAATATATTATTCACTCTACAGGCTCGCTCACTTATTACGCGCAGTAAACCTAACAGGCAGGTTTGAAAAATGAATATGTGGGTGTGAGAACAAAAGGCCTCTGAGCATATTCAAGCAGTAAATGTTTATCCGTGTTATAAGATAAAGGAGTGTAAAGCACACCTCACTTGTGCTATTTTTTGCAACAGTAATTTGTTAAGTTAATTTACTGCATAATATGGAAACAAAGCTAAATGAGCTATTCCAACCCATTTATAATAATAAATGGGTTTATGACACTACAATTAAACAAGTTAATGTCTTGTTTGATTTCACCATTTCCAATCTTAGGCCCAAGTGACTGCTACACCGATCCCTATGCAACGGACTACAGTGGGACCATCAACGTGACTCGCAGTGGTTATACGTGCCAGGCCTGGACTTCTCAGTATCCCCATGAGCACAGCAGGACCCCATTAGAGTACCCGAATACTGGTATCGGGGAGCACAACTACTGCCGCAACCCTGACACCTCAGACATGGCCTGGTGCTATACAACTGATTCCAACGTCAGATGGGAGTACTGCAGTATTGGAATCCCCCAAGAGGTACATGATGATTATATTATCTTCATTTGTTCCATGAATTATTAAATTAGCAGGCACGGAGTTTGTACAGAATGATTTATAATTATGCATTATTTGAGGAGCTTTTTTAGGAGATCAACTTTGGGGTTTTGCAATTCTGTCAAATAATGATTCCATTTAAAGCATAGAGTGAAATGAAAGATAATACATGTATTATGTATACATATATATATATAATACATGACACTATAATATTTACAACCTGTTTGTAAAACGTAGGATAATTTGTTCATTTTTATTCTCCTTTTGGTGCACCTCTTCTTTAAGGTACCGAACCTTAAAGAAGGGACGGTGCACCCAGAGGAGACTGTACCGACACCCTTCAACTCTTAGGATACCACACAAATAATCTCCCTGTGCCACTTTGTATTTATCATGTACCCAATGTTTAACTATTATATGACTGTTTCTAGTGCAAGATTAAAATTCGGTATTTAAAAGGGTTGTCATGGAGCTAATAAAGACTCGGAATGGGTCATTTTTCAAAGCCATGTGTTTCGGCAAGCAATCCTACCACAAATTTCTGCCGATTGCTTTGAGCAAAATTGCATGAATGGCGAATGAGTGACCATCCAAAGAGGTAAGCAAATTGTGAAAACTCTGTTCTGCCAATAGCAATGTGAAGAAGAACAGACTACACCCTCCCTCTCACCAACCAGTATGACAGACATTGTCCGTCTGAGCAAGGGTCCTAATTCTTGGACCGGACGTGTTGAGATCAACATCGACGGCGAATGGGGAACTATCTGCGATGACCTTTGGGGTCTGGATGAAGCCAGCACTGTGTGCAGGATGCTTGGGTACCGAGAGGGCGCTATACGGGCCAGCGTCAGGGCAGAATTTGGGTCCGGCTTGCCTACGGTACCAATCTGGCTTGACAATGTTGATTGCTTGGTCCCTTGGGATAACATCCTTGAGTGTCAACATGATGACATTGGAGTACACAACTGTCAGCATTCTGAGGATGCCGGTGTTGAGTGCAAGCCAAACGAAGGTGCGTATGTAAGCATGTCCACAACACAGTCCGGCAGCGATTTCAAATACTGCCATCATGCATATCTTGCCATCATATTTCTGTTTCCCAGTATCTATAGCCAAATATATAGAACCTAAGAGCCACGCCTTTGATGTACGCCATGTCCCTCTTAGAACATGAATCATGCAGTATGTCACAGCTCAGTAAGGTTGCCCACACTCACAGTCTCTTGCGCATATTTGCCGTGCATCTCCAAGTATGCCGTGCACCCCTAGGGCATCGCCCCAGACTTCCTCAGTGGCAGTTATTGGACATTTTCTTCTTCTTCTTGAAAACCCATGGCTGGATTTTAAACCAAACTGTGTAGGAATCATCTGCATGAAAGGAAGATCTAAAGTTGTTCAAATGTGGTATATGCCCATCAGACAATTATAATGTAATACAAATAGTAGTAGTAGTAGTAGTAGTAGTAGTAGTAGTAGTAAAAGTAGTAGTAGGAGTAGTAGTAGTAGCAGATCATTTGGGTCTCTCTCATATCCTTTCATATGCAGAAGCTGTTGAGACTACTATCTCATCAATCACAGCCTCAAACACAGCCTCCTCCGAGCAGATGACACAGGTATACTCAAATGGTGAGAGTTATGAACATGATAACATCCTGATTGACTTTGCATGATATATATCATTATTATTATGATCATTATTATTAATATTGTAGTAGTAGTTGTAGGAGCAGAAATAGAAGTAGTAATAATAGAAACAGTAATAGTAATAATAGTAGTAGTAGTAACTTACTAATAGTAATAGTAATAGTAGTAGTAGAAGTATAAGAAGTAGTATTAGTTATAGTAGTAGAAGTAGTAATAGTAATATTAGGAGTAGTAGGAGTAGTAACAGTAGAAGTGGTAGTAGTAATAGTAGTAGAAATATTAGTAGTTATAGTAGTAGAAATGTAAGTAGTAATAGTAGAAGTAGTAGTAGTAGTAGTAATAATACAAGTAGTAATAGTAGTAGTAGTAGTAGTAGTAGAAGTAGTAGCAAAAGTAGTAATAGATCATTTGGGTCTTTGAAACGTTCATAGCCTCTTTTATATCCCTTCATATGCAGAAGCTGTTGAGACTACTATCTCATCTATCACAGCCTCAAACACAGCCTCCTCCGAGCAGATGGTACAGGTACACTCAAATGGTAAGAGTTATAAACATATGTTATCATCTTGATTGAATTTGCATGATATCATTTATATAGCATCATAATCAGGCGCGCCGGAAGCAGTTTGGGATGGGGGGGGGGGGGGAAACATTCCACGGGGCTCACCTTCCAGGTGCAGTGACGTAATGAGCAAAAACGTTTGGAAGGGGGGGGGGCAGAAGAAAAATCTGCATCACCACCACTCTTACACGTTACATGCATGCCCCGCCGAACGTTTCTCAAAGTGTTGTATTAAAGATTAGGTAGAGCGTAAATTGGCGTGTGGTCCAGGGCCTGAGCCCCGGAAGGAGGTCAAGGGGCTGAGTCCCCAGAAGCTCAGGGTTTTAGGCATTCAATTACGGTCATATAAGCATATTTAGACACCTTATTTGTGACACTGGCAGGCCACTATTTGGCGGAGAGTCCAGGGAGCAGAGCCCCCGGAAGCTCAGGTGTTTTAGGTATTTAATTACGGTCAGATGAGCATCCAGGGCCCCGCCTTAAGGCCCCTCGGTGGGGTCCAGTGGGCAGAGCCCCCGGAAGCTCGGGGTTTTAGGTATTTAATTACGGTCAGATGAGCATCCAGGGGGCAGAGCCCCCGGAAGCTCAGAGGTTTTAATATTAAACTGTGGTCATATGAGCATCCAGGGGCCGCCTTAGGGCCATAGGTGGGGTCCAGGGGGCAAAGCCCCCGGAAGCTCAGGGATTTTAGGTATTTAATTACGGTCAGATGAGCATCCAGGGCCCCGTCTTAGGGCCCTTGGTGGGATCCGGGGCGGAGCCCCCGTTACCTCTGGGGTTTTAGGCATTTAATTACGGTCACATGAGTATCAAGGGGGCAGAGCCCCCGGAAGCTCGGGTTTTTTTCTTCCTCTCTTTTTTTCTTTTTCTCTGTAACAAACTTTTTTTCAAAAGTGAGGGGGTTCGAGCCCCCGAGCCCGGTCATTCTGCAGACCCTGACATAAATGCTTCTAAACAAGCATATTTTTCGCCCGACTGTAAATTTTGGGGAATTCTAATTTTCGAACAAACGCATAAAAAGGTATGACTTACCAACAAATTGAGAAAAATACCGGAAAATCATGTCATTTCAGCAAAATTTGTAAATCACTGGTATCGAATAAGAAATAACCCCCCCATTAGTACGCAAGCATTCAGGGGCTCATGTCTTCTCACTCCTATAACAAAAAAAAAAAACAGACACGCTTTTCCATTCTCTCACAATATGTCCATGATTTGCGCGTATCGCTTTTATAAAAACCTTCATTGATAAATATAGGTGGCATGTGCAATGTTTAGGAAATTTAATTCCTGTTAACTTTTCTTTGAATGGAATTTTATATGTCATTTAATTCAGGTTTTTATTATTATGTTCTTTTGGGGTTAAAAATACAAACCATCTTTACTCCTTTAATTTACTGCTTTTTTTTTTTTTCCTCAGTGGAGTGTAAAATTGCATTAATTTTAATCTTGTGGTATGTATATATGAATATTAACACCCATATTGTTCAATGAGAAAAATAGGAAAAAAAGTGTAGGTATTCTGTACAGCTTGTCAAGTAGCAAATGTACCCTCTTATCATGAAGAATGCTTGATTATAATCCCTTCAATAACGTACAAACATGTTGAATTATATTTTAAGGAGGTAATTTCACTCTTCAAGACGGAGACAGTCTGTACATCTCTTCTCCCAACTACCCTGCCAACTACGATTCCAACGCCAATGTTCTATGGGTCATCACCATGCCGGAGGATTGCTCTCTGGTTCTGAGTGTCCTCAGCTTTCAAACTGAGAACTATTTTGACGCGCTGACCGTAAGCAGTGAATCAGAAGCTGATCAGTCGGTTGTGCTAATTAGCAGATTTTTAAGTCGTCTGGCGCCGTTCAACAGAACTTATGCTCCGTCAACGTTAATGCGAATCCAATTCAGAACTGATCGTAGTGTAGTGTATCAAGGATTTGAGGCAGAATTAAGAGCTTCTTGCAGTGCAGGTAAGCAAATTGAGCTTTGATATTATCATTATTGTTAGTTTTTATTTTTGTTGTTTTTATTGTTATCATGATAAGTATTATTATTATTGTTGTTATTGTAGTAGTAATCGTAGTATTAATGGACGTATGGCCAGTAGTTGTAGTAGTAGTAGTAGAAGAAGAAGAAGTAGTAGTTGTAGTTATAGTAGAAGTAGTAGATATAATATTATTAATAGTAGATCACATGGGTATTTGAAACTTCCATAGCCTCTTTCATTTCCCTTCTTATGCAGAAGCTGGTGAGACTACTATCTCATCTATCACAGCCCTAAACACAGCCTCCTCCGAGCAGATGACAGGGGAAGACTTAAATGGTGAGAGTTTGTTTGTTAGTTTTATTTATTCACCATGTAAAATAACTGTTTACAGATAATAGAATTCGGTTCGATATATAATAATAATACGTAGTAGGAACAATGCATAAACAAAAAATGTTTGAAGCGCAACGTCCCTAAGATAATAGCTGGTAATTATTAGGTTTAAATAAAAACATGGCTTAAAATAAGACATTCTGTAATTACAAAGTAAAACAAAATACAAAATCATGCCCCTTAATGTACCTCTTATTGACCAAAAAATTGGAGAGAAATAATTCCTTTTTTTTTTTAATAACAAAAGATTATTGCAAGTTCGTATTTCCTGTGGGAAAGCGTTGCAAATGTCAGGACCTACATATCGAATTGATCTGTGGGCTAAAGCACTCCTTGGTGTAAACAATTAAAAATCAGAAGAATGTCTGGTTAGGTAGTTATGAATGTTTCTATTTAGAGTAAAATCGTTACAAAATGATAAAGTCTGTACATGAAAACTGCAATTTGCATAAAATGAATATCAGTAACTTTCAAAGTTCTCAATCTGAACAATAATGGGTCAGTGTGATCAAAGTACCCAGAGCCACAACATAGTCTCATCAGTGGCGGATCCAGGGGAGGGGGGGGGGGAGGGGGCCGGGGGACCCGGCCCCCCCCCCTTGCGAAAAAAATCATTGTAAAAACACATGATTTTTACCTTTTTGAGGGGTTGGGCCCCCCTGGCGCTCAAAGGGGGGGGGGGGGGGGGGGGGTGCAAATTTTAAAATTTTCGAGGACCAAAAAAAAAAGTGCTCTCTACCCCCCCCCCCCCCCCCCCACTGATCGAATTTTCGGTCGGTGCGATTTTCAAATTTTCGGGAGCAAAAAAAAGTGCTCAAAGTATTGAGATAGGCCGATAATTACTGAATAAACTAGCATCGTCTTTCTTATAGATAGGTACTACTTTCGAAATTTTCATCATTGAAGGAAAACTACCAGACACCAATGACAGGTTGAATATGTAAACGAGGGGCTTAATTATACTTCCAATTATGTTTTTTAGCAAGTGTGTATTCATCTCATCATGTCCAGTTGAATGACTGGAACTAAGTGATGCAACAATCCTCATTACCTCAACTGGATTTGTAGGGTTTAAAAAAATACTGTTTACAGAGGAATCAAAAAGTTATAAACCTGTTATCACCTTGATTGACTTTGCATGATATCCTTTATCAATATATTATAATAATAATTATTATTATTGTAGCAGTAGTAGTAGTAGTAGAAGGAGTAGTAGTAATATTAGTAGTAGTAGTAAAAGGAGTAGTAGTAACAATTACAGTAATAGTTGTATCAGTAGTAGTATCAGTATTAGTAGTAATAGTAATTGTAGCAGTAGTAGTAATAATAGTAGCAAAGTAGTATACGAAATAGTTGCAGTAATAGTTGTATCAGTAGTACTAGTAGAAGTAGAAGTAGTAGTAGAAGTAGTAGTAGTAGTAGTAATAATAATAGAAGTACAATGAGTAGTAATATTAGTATAAGTAGTAGTAGTAGAAGTAAAAGTAGTAGTAGAAGTAGTAGTAGTTGTAGTAATAATAATAGAAGTAGAATCAGTAGTAATATTAGTATACTTACTAGTAAACTTATTAGTAGTAGTAGAAGTAGTAGTTATAGTAGTAGTAGTAGTAGTAGTATTAATAGTAGTAGTAATACTAGTATAAGTAGTAGAAGTTATAGTAAAAGTAGTAGTAATGATATTATTATTAGTAGTAGATCATTTGGGTCTCTCTCATTTCCCCTTCATATGTAGAAGCTGTTGAGACCACCATCCTATCAATCACAACCTCAAACACAGCCTCCTCCCAGCAGATGACACAGGTACACTCAAATGGTGAGAGTTATGAACATGAACAGTAGTAGGAGGGTAACATTAGTATATGATATTTTCATTTGATGCGCTAGCTTTTTAATTTACTTTGGTTGTTCCTTTTCCATTCATATTTCACTTTTTATATCATTATGTTTATGTTTGTACTTGTAATTCCTATTTGTGTATTACCTTTCTCTCTTCACCTCGTTTTATATTTGTCATCTGTAAGTATAGTTTTTCCTAGGTATGTATTTATATTCAATTCGGTATCTATATGATCTGTTTTATGTTTGTAACACGGACTTGCTGAAAAGCAGTCTTTTTAGGCTGATGTGATGTTTACCGTGATTATAGATATTAAATAGAATTAAAACAAATTAATTTAAGCACGTACCATTTGAGAAAATTAACCTAAACCATAAGTTTTATGTATTACCAGCAGTCACATTCATCTTGTTTTTAAGACATCAAGTGTAATATGCTTTACAGTTCTGTATCTACAAAGTAAATTCAATACATGTAGGACCTCTGTTGTGTGCCTAGATGCCATTCATTTACATATATAGTGGCGGTTTTTTTGTAGCTGTTTACCGCGTCACATCCAAACAAGCCTTTTTTCAAGCAATTGCTAAATATCAACTTTCAAGTATTGACTTTTTATTTGGAAAGGTTTATTGTTTTATTGTTAGATTAGGTATGAAATATATCACATGGGAATACGCTTTAAAACGAAGTTATTGCTTCTGTTTCACTAGAAATGTACCCATATTTTAGTCTCAACTGAAATGTTTAAGGTCGAAACAAACGTGTTTAATTTCGTAGGGACAGCATTTCTATTTGTGATCACTAAAATACGATGAATGTACATTTGTTATGCTATTAGAATCTTGAACTTCCTGTATCTAATACAGCGATCTTGATATTTCTAAAATGATTAACTATCTTGCTGTTTGCCTAATTTTGTTCAAATATTTCTTACAAGTTTCTCTAGTTCATGAGTACGTCTCATACTTCATTTATTCAGGTGCGTTATCTGCCTATCTAAGTAGCAAATGTACCCTCTTACCATAAATAATGCTTGATCCTTTCAGCTGACAGCTGCAGAGTTATGGAATAAATTACCTAGTCAATTTAAGCAGGTTGATACAGTAGAAAATGTCAAGAGTCTCTTAAAGACACCTTTTTTCGCTTGTTAAAATAGTACAATGTTATGACAAAGCAGTCATTCTTTCTCTTCCCTTCCCTTCCCTCATGTTTGCTATTATCCCTTTTCTTTTCTACTGAGCGCATAGGGACTTAAATTTATTTTCGTGATATACGCTATATGAGAATGGTTTATTATCATCATTATTGATTATGATCCCTTTAATAACGTACAAACATGTTGAATTATAATTTAAGGAGGTCATTTCGCTCTTCAAGACGGAGACAGTCTGTACATCTCTTCTCCCAACTACCCTGCCAACTACGATTCCTACGCCGATGTTCTATGGGTCATCACCATGCCGGAGGACTGCTCTCTGGTTCTGAGTGTCCTCAGCTTTAACACTGAAAGCTTTTATGATGCGCTGACCGTAAGCAGTGAATCAGGAGCTGATCAGTCGGTTGTGCTAATTGACACATTATCAAGTCGTCTGGAGCCGTTCAACAGAACTTATGCTCCGTCAACGTTAATGCGAATTATATTCAGAACTGATAGTACTGTAGAGTATAAAGGATTTGAGGCAGAATTAAGAGCTTCTTGCAGTGCAGGTAAGCAAGTTGAGCTTTGATTCTTTCATCGTATTGTTATCATTGTTATTTGAATTATTATTATTATTATTAATTTGTTAAGAGGTCAACTGCTATGAAATTTCAGGGTTTTAGCCTTAACATCATGATATGTCAATCACTTAAGGTATAAACTGTTAACTTAATGGTAGCATGCATCACGACAGTGACATAAAATGATTAGATTTTGGAATGTCTGGTCAAAAGTGAAGGTCGTAAAAGATCAACTGACATAAAAGGCTGTTTGTTATTAAAAAATGTTATAATTCAAGCCATGGTTTTAACTGAGTTTATTAATGAAGGGCGTGATCAACACATACGGGAACCTATAATGTGACAGTGGAAGCTCGTGGTCATAAATACTTCTATTGTAAAATTTATATTTTTATCCCCTTGACATATGCGTGCTCCTGTACCTCATTTCAGAATATCATCAATTTATCTATTTTGTACAGAAACAACAACTGCAAGCCAGACTACAAGACAGACTACACAAGATTCTAATGGTAAGAGTTGATGTGAGTTTATTCGAAAGAATCTTCCTTCTGGTAATTACTCACACCTTCTAAACAGAATTGTGAAATTTTGCCTAAAACATCGATTGTGATAGTTTATGCAAATTTATTCGAAATATATATATATATATATATATGCATTTTTATCCCTTATTTATAAACTATTTGTCTTGTCCGATAGGGCATAACAGGGTATTTAAAAGTTCTAAACAGAATTACAAATTTTATCGTTAACGTTAAATATGGTTCGTTGGATGAACAAAACTTCTACTCGATATTTGATATTTAATATTTTAGTTTGCCTCAATCATAATTTTGAAAACTTCTACAGATTTATTCAATATTTCAAAAAATCTTTATTCTTTCTCTTTTCCCAACCAATTTAGCAGAGAAAAGTACATTGTGACACTTTATCAAGTCATTGTTTAAATGCACAGAGGGCTACTTGTTCACATCATTATAAAATAATCGTCTTATTACATCTTTATCTTATAAATATTTCAAAACGTCAAGAGAGTACTCTATGGATTGTTACACACACAGATGGAGCAATCACGTTTGCATCTCACGGGTCAAAGGTCAGCATCTCCTCTACAAATTACCCTGCAGCATATCCACCTTATATGGACAAGGTGTCATAATTTATTGTCTATTAAAGTAATATAAGAATGACTATTCCATGATCTTACTGATGGTCAGAACCATCTATACCAGAGCTTGGCCAACCCGGTTCGAGTTGGACACAATATGGCGATTACTGCTTTAATTTGTTGGGCAAGCACAAAACATTACAATATACGCCATGTTGTGACCCAGTGAAACCAAGTTGGCCAAACTCTGTGTATAGGTGGCTCTGCTGATGGTAATACAAGTATTCCTCAAACACTAGTTTACCCAACTCATATATTTCCTTTTTTATTCAATATATCTTTCCTGTATTTATCAACAGATATGACTAGTGAAGCACCATGGACCATTGGTGGGAATGTGGATTCTACAGGTATGATGATGATTGATTGTGCAATGTGCCATGGAGACATCAGTGTCAAAATCACCTTTTGAACTCTATTTTCTTTTCTAGGAACTGACTTTCATCTCATTCTTATTATTTCAAGAACTGTGTTAAGGTATCTGAACTGATTAGAATGTAGGTGTAATTAAGAGATGAAATGCGAATGATCACAGGATCTTTAAAAATGTTGAAATCACAGAAAAATATCCCGTTTCTGCGAATACAAAAATGATCCAATGTCAACCAAACTGAGCTAAAAAAAATTAAGGAATCATCACAAGATTAAACGAAAAAATAGTTTGGGTTTCAGAGCTAGGTAACAGGATGCTTGGTTGATGAACGTACATGTAGGTAGAGGCTTATTAGAGACAAAGTCGCATTCCGTGATCCTGTTCAAACTGCTTTGTAATCGCTGTTTCAGGTGGACCTATCGCTCTTAGGGAGGGACAGGACTACTTTATTGGATCCTCTAGCTTTCCAAGCAACTACCCAAGCAATGCAACCATTCTGTGGCAAGTGACAACCTCGGACCGTTGCGCCATCCATATCACTTTCATGGCCTTCAGCACCGAGCCCATATATGACTACTTGGTTGTGGGGTCGCAGGACGTAACACCCAAGAACATGGTCCATCGATGGACAGGAGGGGAGGTTCCTGCACCCCTCCATTTGAACTCCAACCAGGCATGGTTTCTCTTCATGTCAGACTCTGAGACGGAAGAGCAGGGGTTTGTGGCGAAGCTACATGCTATGTGTTCAAACTCAACAGGTGATTTATATAATCTTTTGAATTTTTGCCATATCTAATAAAGTGATTTATTTAATCTTTTGACTTTTTGCCATATCTAATAAAGACTTGTGAGAGAATTAATTGTAAGTCCCCCTGTCAATTGCCTTAGTCATCTGTACAACGTTGTCATTGATATAAATGTTATAAATGATTTAGATCAATCCCAGCTCATATATAAGACAGGGTCCTGATTTAACTTTAGGTTCCAACATACATGAGATACAGCGATATTATTGCCAGCAAACGTAATATGGAAGTACTAGATATAGCATAATTATGGTCTGAAAATAGACCATTTATTTTCCTTGAAGTTACCACTAAGAACACTAGCTGTGACAGTTCACTATTAGCGTATTGATCAGTTTCTTTTAAATGTGACCAGGAACAAACAATCAAGAAATATTTTAAAGTGCACATGTAAACCAGAAAGAGTGCCTTGCCAACTTTCCTCTCCATGCATGCAGCCTCTATAGAGGATGTGCGTCTGGTTGATGGCAATGTACCACAAGAGGGCAGGCTTGAAGTCCTTTACCAAGGCCAATGGGGAACTGTTTGTGAGGACCTGTGGGAGAGGACGAATGCTGAGGTTGTGTGCAGGATGCTAGGGTACGAGGGAGCCGACTTGGAGTACTCGACCACCGACTTGTGGTGGCTCATCAAAGGCTCAGGACCTATCTTGATGGATAATGTACGTTGCCAAGGCAACGAGTCTAGTCTTGATGAGTGCAGCCATCTTGGATTGGGTGTCCACAACTGCGACCACTCCAAAGATGTGGGTGTGACCTGCAGAACAGGATCAGAAGGTATGTAGACATCCTGGTGTTCTATTTGCTAGAGATGAATGTGACTGCATCTCTCATATGCCTAAGCCAGTATATATGTTTATGGATCCTGTGCCCCTCAGCATCTGACCTCCCAAACCCCACTATTTTTTAAATTAATATATTCATGCTCATATCTAACTGTACTTGGGCCAATTTGGTCAACTTTGGTTCAGGTTTTGCCAAGTTATCACAATATAAATATATTTCTGGCATTTTTAAACACTTTTATGATCCTGTGACTTTTGACTTCTCTCACCCAAATCTGTTCATCCTTGCATACTCATTCACAATTCATCAAAGTTTGGCTTGAATTGGTTTAGTACTTTTCAGGTAATCGTGGTAACAAGCTATTTTGACCCTTAATACCTTTCACCTCATACACCTGGAATCTAATCAGTCTATCCTTGCATACTCATGCATACCGGATCCAAGTTCGGTTAAAATCCATTCAATGACGGTACTCGAGTTATCACGATAACGAACTATTTTCTGGTAGTTTTTAACACTTGATTACCTTTACCTTTGACCTTTTATACCCAGAATCTATTCACTTCATTCTTTGCATGCTAATACATACTTGTTCCAAGTTTGGTTAAAATCCTTTCGATCAACGTTTCTTGAATTATCGAGTAACAAAACGCATGACGGACTGATGGACGGGCAACATAAAAACATAATGCCCCCTGCACCACCTTTTGTTGCAGAGGCATAATCATCTTTTACTCTTGCGTAAATATTCAAATGCACATCAATTGTCTAGGGCTACACCTTGTTCTAGGAAAATTCTCCATGGAATGTTTAAATATTTCTTGCAAATGTTTTTCTTGATTAGTGATTTGATGTTCAGAGCCATTAATTATAATTCATGCCGTTTGAGGAAAATATGTTGAAGGATGTAGAACATGTCACCTTTTCCCTTTAGATAGCCTTTCCAGACAGATACCTCATGTATTAAGCCTATAGCTAATGAGAGGACTCAGAAGTCAACTAGTTTATCGGCTCTTATTTCTTTTCCATATTTTTCTGCAGCCAACCCATCCACTGACAATTCAGCCATCATCCGCCTTGTGAACGGCAACCGGCCAAGCGAGGGCAGGGTAGAAGTATTCCGAGGCCGAAGCTGGGGGACGGTCTGCGATGACTACTGGGGGATAGAGGATGCAAACGTGGCTTGTAAGATGCTGGGATACGAGAGGGCCGAGTTGGCTTACAGAGAGGCCAAGTTTGGTGAGGGAGACGGGGCCATTTTGCTTGACGATGTCTCTTGCACCGGGAGAGAGCCCAGTCTGTTTGCATGCGATCATAGCGACTTTGCTGACTGTTCTCATGCTGAAGACGCTGGTGTGAAGTGCCTTGAGACCAGCGGCAGAGATCTGTCGTTAGCCTAGGGGGATGCAGACCAGAAGCAGTCCTCCCGGGGGACCCCACTTTTCAAATACCCCAAAGGTGCCCCTTTTTAACATAGGAAAAGTACTCCTTTTACTTTAACAAGTGGCCCTATTAATTTGTATAAGTGCCCCTTCCCCATTTAACCTCAGATGAGTGCCCCTCTTTATTTTGACACATGCCTCTTTTCCTGTACAAGTTCCCATTTTCCTTTTCAATAAGTGTCTATTTTCCATTCTCATAACAAATAATCCCTTTTTAATCTTTAGAAAGCGCCCTTTTCAGGAACGAGAAGTGTCCCTTTTCACTTTTGATATATGCCCCCTTCACCTCTGATAATTGCCCTATTCAAATCTGAGAGATGCCCCTTTTACTCTGCCAAGTGCCCCTCCCCCTTTTAATAACTACCCCCTTTTTAATTTGGATAAGCGGACCTTATATTTTCAGAAGTGCCTCTTTTCCTTATGATAAGAGACCCCATTTTAAAAAGAGCCCCTTCCCATAAATTCCCTTTTCAGGTACTTTTCAGGTGCCCTTTCACCTCCGATAATTGCCCCTATTCAAATATGAGAGATACTCGTTTTACTTTGACAAGTGCCCCTTCCCCTCCTGATGAGTGTACATTTTCACCTCTAATAACTGCCCCTTCTATATGACACGCGCCCCCTTTCCATTCTAATCAAAATTCATGTTCTTTTTTCTTCTTATAAGTGCCCCTTCCCTTCTCATAATTATCTCTTTTCATTTCTGATAAGTGCCCAGTTTATTCTAAGATGTGCCTCTTTTTCTTTTTAATAAAGAGCCACTTCCCCTTCTCATAAAAGCCCCCTCCCATTAAATTTTGATCATTGCCCCTTTTCTTTTAACTAATGCACATTTTCCTTTATCATAAGTGCCCCTTTTTCATTTTAATAACTGCCCTTTTTCATATCTGGTCAGAGCCTAGTTTCAGGTGCATTAAGTACCCCCTTTTCACCTCTGATAATTACCCTTTGTACTTCGACAAAATGACTCCTCTTCTTTTCTAATAAGTGACCCCTTTTCCTCTCATCATTAAACGTGCACCTAATTTCAAGCGCCTAAGAGCAATTTCCCCCAAAGCTCACTCGCATTTATAAGTGATACAATTATGTTACTTATCAAATGTCTTTTCAGTCTTCCGTTGCGAGAATGTGCTTATATTACATGCAGCATCTATGTTAGAGAAGAAATGAATAATTACTTTACTTGTGTGTTATTTCTTTATCAATATGTGTGTAATTACTTTGTAGTTGGAAAATAGAAGATTGTACTGCACGGACCGATCAGTCTTTTAGCTTAAACTTTCTTTTGTGTCACACTCCTATCTAATATACTTTCCATCATTTTCGGGTGTATATATTATGCGTCCGTGCCGTATAAAGGTGAAAGCGAAAGAGACAGAAAACAGACAGAAAGGTAGGAGGGAGAGTGAAAATGCGTATACAAAAATAAGGAGGTAGAAAGTGGTAATGGCTGTGTGTCTTTGCGTTCGAATGTGCGGGTGGGTGTGCGATAGAGAGAGAGAGAGAGAAAGAGAGAGGAAGAGAGGGGGAGAAAGCAAGTTGAAGAAAAAGAGGAGTAGAAAGAAACGTGCGAAAGATAATTGATAGAGAAGGGGAAGAGATTGAGAATGAAGGAGAGATAGAGAAAGAGAGCGAGAGATAGGGAAGAGATTTAAAGAGATAGAGAGAGAGAGAGAGAGAGAGAGAGAGAGAGAGAGAGAGAGAAGAGAGGGGGGAAAAAGCGGGAAAAAGCAAGTTGAAGAAAAAGAGGTGTAGAAGGAAAGGAAAGATGGTTGATAGAGAAGGGAAGGAGATTGAGAATAAAAGAGAGAGAGAGAGAGAAAGAGAGAGAGAGAGAGAGAGAAAGAGAGAGAGAGAGAGAGAGGGAGAGAGAGAGAGGGAGAAAGAGAGAGAGAAGGGAAGTGGGTTGTCTGCTACAACTACAAGTACATAAATTAATAAAGACATACCACAGATTTAGGTAGAACATTATTTAATTAACCAATAACTACGCCTTAGTACATATTTTGAGAGGAAAATTGAAGAAAGGTGGAAAATATATTTTATAACTGAATAATCTTAAAGGTACTATGTCCCTTTTGCAGCCAACATCAAATTTTGTTGAAATTTGCAGGAATTATGAATATATCATGTATGTCCTATCTGTGAATTTTAAACATTAGCAGTGTCCTAATATTCAAATTATGCAAGAAACCCCGTTTACTTGCTAGACCTCACTGTCAGACACTTTTTAGTGACTGACTGGCTTTTTCATCTTTGGTAATAACATACATAAAATAAGCTGTAAAGGGTACATGAGCATTTGTCTACATCAATAACCCACTTCTTATAATGGCCAAAATTAAACTGATTGAATCTTTGCCCAGCATAAAACGTACGAACATTCGGTACAATGGTCTGAAAAATCAGACTATTACTTACTGGCTCTATAGCTCCTAAGTCGCTTTGACAACTAATAGTCGTTATTTTCCCACTTAAAGATATTTTCAAGCCCCCCCCTTTTTTTAGGGAAGTTCTAAATTAGTATTGTCTTTCAAATGCCGTTGGAATTTAACCTTTTCATTTTTGGCCTGCAAATGGGACATAGTACCTTTAACATAAATTACATGTATTATACAATTATCATTTTCTTTTCGATTCCAATGAAAGTTGACGAAAAGGATAAACCAAAAGGCGAACGCTTTAACCTTCGATTTCAATTTCTATATCTGAAAGATCTATATGTAACCCGAGCTCAAAAACTTTCGAGAAATCAACCTAGAGCGATTTCAATAGCCATGTGCGCCACCTTAGAGTGTGCGAACATTACAATGACGTTATTATGAACTCTGAAAGTGATCTCGAAAGTCTTTGCGATCGAGTTATACTTAACAGAAGAAAAAAACGAGAACAAAACACGACAATTTATGACGTTCATATCCCTACGCACTGCTGATACCAACAAAGAAAAGCAGATGAAATCTTTATCTCCTATGATAAAAAGTAACAATTTAGAGAGATTCTGCCATTATTAAAATGGACAATGGAACAATACGCAACTAGGTACTGCATGTACTTAAGTTTAGCATTACGAATATTAAATGAAAGAAGAAAACAGTTTGAGAAGATCTGTGTAGAAATACATGGGATTGCATAGAAGACATATTTATACAGGTGTATATACATTTGTTTAAAGGCTTCCTACTTCCACCTAAAGGTACTATTCTTTATATCTGTTTGACTATCACACAAAAATGAAAGTGTTATGGGCAAAAAAAAATATGAATCAAAGCACATGACACCGTCTCCAATTTCTAATCACCAATAAGATACCCTTCACCAAGAGACTGCATTAATAAAAAATCGTAGTATTTATCTTGATGTTTGAATCCATATTACAGAGGTAACATTTCCATATTACAATTGATTCCGTGCGAAGAGCCTAAGAGGAGCTTTGACACTTTAAAATTATACATGTATTTGTAATTTTACTCCAATCAGATCGATGTATTTTTTTTCTCTCTCTCTCTTCAAGCGTTAATAGCTATTCTCGGTAACGCCCACTCTGCGATAGCCAATCAGCTCGTGGCGATGACGACGCATGCGCACCATCATCAGCGCCATGATGACAGTAAGAGCGATGAGAACACAGATGGCGCTCACAGCAACGATCATCAGGGGGTCATGAGATTCGGGTCCTGGAGAGTGATAAACAAGTTAACACGACACTAATAAGAAATAAGAATAAGAACGATGACCATACTAGTGATAATAATGAAACTATTAGGGTTAAAACTAATAATAAACACGTACCTACATTAAACTGCACGATTATCGATCCTCGGGGAATCTCAAGCCATCTTGGTAATAAGCCTATTATTACCAAGACCTATGCCAAGCTGAATGTGTTGATTCATTCACTGGCGGGTAGGAACGGGGGGAGGGGGGGGGGGGGGGGTGGTGGTACAACCATTGCAAAAGAGAAGGGGAATACTGTAGTACACAACTCGAAAAAACGACCCACTTATTCAATTCGTTTTACCCCACGGCAACATACATTTGTTATCAACCCTTTTTTCTTTTCTTTTTTGAAATAGGAATATTTCTTTTATTCTCGGGACGTCTCTTTCTTCCTCTCTCGCGCTTATTATAAAGTTTTACAGAATTATAGTGCCCGTGGTCCCTTTTAAAAAATCAGGTACTCGTTCTGAATCAATTAGGCATTTCCGCAATGTCATATGATTCATTTAAACGTCTTTGTGAGGCACCTGGATACGAATTACTTCCTTCATCTGTTACGAATAATTGTACTTTAATAGTTATAATGCAAATTACATTACGTGTTGTTCGGTAGGGCAAGCAACATATATTGTTTGGAGTTCGCATTCCAGGACAAACAATAATGTTAGTCCTACCTAGCATCAAGACACTTCACAGTGACGTATGCATTTAATTTGGTTTAGCCTACATTACGAATGTGGTAAACGATACATATCTCGATGAAATCATTGGAATTGTGCTAAATATACCAATCACAGCGGTCCGGGCGCGTCTTATTTTTGGGAGACGCCGGGCCCGGGCGCGTTTTATTTGTTCGTACCACGGCGAGCCCAGATTCCAGTATGAACTCATTTTCATACATAACAAGTTACGAGAGCTTGCAAAGAGGTCACAAACAATTCGACTTTGATTATTTATTGCTTTGCCTCACTATATATAAAGGCAAAAAAACAACTAAATAAACTGAGATTTGAACCCTCACGGCAACTCCAAAGTTTTATTACTAACACGCTGTCCTTACCGATTGAGCTGGCGATGGGTTGACGACAGATTGATTTGTATAATTACTATCACCCTATTAACCACCCTAACGGATTCCACGTGCGCATGCGCTGGTTCCCTTTGAGAGTGCGCATGCGCAGGTTTACCTCGCGAGTTCAATCTGGGCTCGCCGTGGTACGAAAAAATAAGACGCGGCCCGGGCCTGCAGAACATTTGACTTTTACATCTGTAAGTTACACTGTAAGCTGCTCGCATTGTCTTGTAATGTTCGCTGTTTCATGTGACATGAATTCCTTTGCATAAATCGGTATTGTCAGATGCTGCCTTATCTATTGCACCATGAACATACAGGACATTACGTACTCTTCAGAAACTACTCACCATCTTCAAAGCTATCAAGCAACATAGCCCTTTTAGAGCGTGAGGCATCGGAGAGCGGCCCGCTCGTGATGGTGTGGGGTTTGGATCCCGAGCCTGACGGCTGCAGACTTCGACGAGATCGGGCTAGGCACCCCTGAGCGCAGCGGGAGCTCGAGTCGTTTTTGTCACAGATCAGGATTGAGCAGTGAACGTAAACCTGTTTTGAGAGACGATAGAGCTAATTAGAAGGTGAAAAATAAATGCAAAGCATCTTTACGACATAAAAGATGGTATAACGCTAATCGTAAATTGTTATCGTGAATCATAAAAATGTCCCATATTTCGAATGTAAAGGCTAAAGAGGACCTTAATTATAGTGTGCGGTGGTTCTAAGACTCGTGCTACGTCTACTGAATATAATGCAGTAGGCTTACTCAACCAAAAGCTTTATTCCTTAATAGGTACCAAGCACTAAGCCCATGAAACAGAAAATTTATCACCATAACCATGATTACCCTGAGAGTTAATAAAACAGATAAACGCATAGCAATACAAACCTAATGAGTACTTGATTTTGAGATTTTAATCAAGAAACTGAAGGAATATTAGCATGCAACGGTAATTTAAGTCAATATTTTTTGCACTGTAGTTTTTCATTCGTTAATTGTGTGGTGTTTTTCCCAATTGGCATGTGAAAGACTGCGCCAGTTGTTGACGCATGCCTACGTCAGTATAGCTTAGAATAAAGCCCCAGTTGCCTATGATGTGTCATTTTGATTGCGTTATTAGCTGCGCTTCTGTGCTAGTTAACCGAACCTGTGGTTAAGTCAAGTAGCCCATGCTTCCGTTTGAACTCACTGTCTGCACCATTCGGAGCAACTTTAGAATACCCCACCAGACGTTCGTAGGTTACACAACGCTTCATCAATGAAGCTAAATCTGAGGACTTAAGTTTCTTAGGTAGTACTAAACCTAATCCTATTCATAACCCCAACCTTAACTCTAACCGTAGGTCATTGACGTTTATGTTCATAAACCCTATAGGTGGGGGGTATTCTTAAGTTAAGCCCATCCTTCATTTTAGAATCACCGTTTGTTACTTTCACATGCCGCATCGGAGAACATATTAATCTAGGACGCAGTACTACGTCAATACAATGACGCATCGGGTGCAACGGATACGAGTGGTACAAAGGGCCATTGTTGTACTTGACACTCACCTTGTCGAAATCGCCAATGAAGGCGAAAGCAGCGATACTGAATCCCTTGGAAGTTGGAGAGAGCCAATTGTAGATGACTGTTGTGCTGTCCACGGCACATCTACAAAACAGAAACACATTTTTAGAAATAAATTGGCCGTCATGATGAAGTACGTCGTGCATTTATTATTTAGGCTAATGCATTGACGGACTAGGACTGAAATTCGGTTGAGAATTTCGATACGACCGGCCCACTCAAACCTCTAGGATACATATATCAACCGGCCACCAGAGCACCTATCGACTGGCCCTTGTGGCAGAATAAATAGTGGGAAACTCCCCACACTCCCCTTAGTCAGTCCACCCCTTATGAATGGTACGGTGTTTGCCCATTCATGAGAGGGCGTACAATGCTCTTACTTGGTGGATGCAATGCAAGAGTCAACACGATAAACAATGGGTAAGCAAAGGTAGAGAACAAGTCCCACCCATTCTCGATGATATCATAGTGGTGGTCGTCCCGTGGGCTTGGCGAGCTAGTTGCCCAGCACGACTCGATGAGAAGCGTGAGGTTCGTGACGGACGTCAGGCCGACGCTGAAGTATAGCGGGGCGCCGAGTGTAACTTCGCCGGAATCGTTGGCAGGTTGGTAGAAGCCTGAGTTTGTATACCGGTCAAGGTTTAGGGTGAACTCGCCGTACCCTTCCTAGAAATTGAGTACACATTTGAGAGAGAGAGAGAGAGATTTTTTAACTTATACGTGTGTCTAAGGGAGAAATATGGGTATATGGGACACAAAAATGTACCAGAAAAGTTTGGTCGAGACATATAAACTAACAAAATTTCAAATGATAACAATAATATTCATATGATAATATTCATAATTAGATTAATGATAATGGTAATAATACTAATAATAATAACATCAATGATTATGATAATAATAAAAAAAACTAATGGTGTCTTATGACACAGTACCCAAATGCTAATGCCGTATCCGGTCGTCGTTTAGGTGACTGGTTCTAAAAACAGAGTCTGCACATGAGGTTCACCGCAGAATCATTCAAGTAACGGGCTGGAGTAGGGCGAATTCAGTGTTTGGGGCGAGTATGATCACCACATCATTGTTTAGCACAAACATTGTTTGGAACCAGCAACCTTCACAACTTAGCCAGTATGACGTCACGCTTCGATTAATTTATTTCGTGCAAACGTCCTCGCGCTGTCGTGCTCCCGGCTCTCGAACATGATTACACTGTTCGTGCCAATTAAAGGACGTTAGCGCCGAGTTGGGATTAGAACCTTTAACTCTTGGATTGATAGCCAAGTGAATGAACTACTATTCCACGACATCTCCACCAACATATTACGTTGCTCCTACCAGAACTCGCTTTACATTCAGCTACAAAGTAATTGAAACCTCACCTCTTCGAAAACATAAAGATTTGCTTGAGGCAAGAAGGACTCTTCCAAGGCCTGCGTCCTCTCCAGGTTGCAAGTAACAGGGATATGAAGATATTGTTCTCTGGTAATGAGCTCATTAGTTCCATTTTCAGGGCGGGGCTTGTACGTCACCATGTTGGTAAATATTATGTAGTCGTCGTCTTGCTGCAGGTATTGATGGGTAGGAGGGGGCATGAGGGCATATTAAACGAAAATGTTAATGGAGAAATTGTTATGGGGACCAAAAGATAACAGTGTGCCGTTTTTTTAGAACAGTTAAACGTTTTAGTTGTCTTCCGATGATGATGATGATGATGGTAATAATATCAATGTTGACAATAATTATGATTATAAGAAATGAATAAATAGCTGTTCATAATAATATATCAACTATGGAATGCCGGAAAGGTGAAAACCAGAATAATAATAAAAAGTACGAATAAAGACAAAGAACAACATTTTGTTCATCTTTAGCCTCTATTGCCATCTATACTTCGGTGTTCTATTCCAGGGTTTACGCTTAATCCGCCTCTGAAGATTACGTCCTTTGGGCCGAAAATATCGTGTTAAAAAAAAGGGAAAGAAATACATTTGGCTTGACAGACAGCTTCAATATGTTTTTTCATATTTTAACCTTGGGTCTTGGACTCAAAAAGATGCATCTAGAAAATATATTTTCCCCCAAATCGATGATCATGACCACCCTGTGTTATTCATCTAGCCCATATATATTCATAGTGAAACAGATGTTAGACATGTATGCAGAACCCTGACGCTATTTATAACTATACGTCTATTACTGATGGGAAAAAGTATCCTACGAGCACTTGTAAATATAGATAATTAACATTGTCACTGAAAGAACGGAACAGCGATTCATGAGAGTTTGTTATTGAAATCTTCATCAAGCAGTATTTTTGTGATGTATCAATTGTACATAAAGACCTATTGACCATACCTCTTGCGTAGTACCACATCTGTCGTACGTGGTGGTGATCGCTACATGCTCACTGTCGTGGACGTATGCAACACAAGACTCGTCTTCGAAATGGACATCGCGGGCGTCGTCGCCGATCTCGAGAAGGGCTCTGTCCAAAATAAGCGTCATCGACACGTTGTCACAAGTCAGGTCTGGCCCTGTGAGAAGATATCAAACGAATATTTGTCCATGATTGATCAAACTATGAAGTACTTGTTCTTGTAATTTGTGGACCTCACATGGTGAGAGTGTATTCCCAAGGGGTTAACTATATCTCAATCTCTTCTTCAAATCAGCAGGATTCCTTTTTATGTCCTTTTTTAACTGAATTTTTCCAACAAAATCATCTCTCCCGAGTGAAAATATAAAAACGAATTGAACGTTGATCCCAAAGTCAAGATATGTTGACTTCATGTGAGCACCCCCCATAACCAGTGGCGTAGACAGGTTCGTACACCTGGGGTGGATGACTGGGCTGCCAACGCTAGTGAGGGCGCGAAGCGCCCGAGCGAGGGAGCGAAGCGACCGAGCGGGGGGAGGGTGTGGGAGGGGGTGTCCCCCCTCCCACGGTAGGGAGCTTTTGCAATTTTGAACTTGAAATCGTGCAATCTGATGCATACTTAATGAGGTAAAATGAATGAAAACAGCCTCTGTGGCCATTTGTGAATAGAACACATAAACAACAAACAAATAACGATTAAACTTTGAACAATATGTCTGTTCATTATAAAGCATAATGAATACGTACATACTATGCTTTTTTTACCTCAAAGAAACAGGCATAGTATCCATAGATGGATATTGGCTGGCGGCTCATTAACGTACAGATACAAAAAAAAATTAACAGTATCACTATGATCCATGGAGTAACAATACTGCTTTGTAAGTTTGTGAAGAAATCGGAACCATAACGGCATTGCATCGTTTCAAATTAGGGCATTATTTACTTCTATTTGATCTCAGTCTTATAATAGTAATAGTAATAGTAATAATAATAATAATAATAATAATAATAATAATAATAGAAATAAAAAATAATACTAATACAAATAATAATGCTAATACTAATAGGTTCCTTTTATCTCGCATTTCAAGACAGGGTAAATTCACACTGCGCTTTACATGAAACAAACTTCTTTAAACATTTCAAACTTATGTCTTCATGCATCAATCAACATACTTTAAATGAATACAAAACAAAGTGCATCTTAAATAAAACAAAATAAATAAATAGTTAACAATACAGAAAAGATGTAGCTGCTGCAAGCTTAACAACAAACTAATGTATACCAGTCAGTCCTGATATCAGTATTAGTGTAACAATAGTCATATAGTGGGAGCATGAAGTTGAACAATTCATGATTATACATAATTATATATGTTTGTTTGAATAATACTTGTTATAAAGATAGTAGTATGGTACTCTCTGTCACGAATTATTATGTATACTGTTGTATCACATTCATTTTCTATTCTGTTTTAGAATTGGCTTTCACCGTGTGAATGCGGCTAACAATAAACACAATTACAATAATGATGAGGATTATTATTATCATCATCATAACTATTATTATTATTAATATTATAATTGTTATCATTATTATTATTACTATTATTATCATTATTATGACTTATTAAGTAAGCAAATATTCCCCAAAACCTGGGGGGATGATTGTACATGCCATCCCCCTCATCCGCCCCGTTGTCTACGGCTACGCCCCTGCCCATAACAATCAAACAATTCGTTTTTTTCTTGTGAAGGTGTAATCGTACATATTATGAATCCAATAAAGCAGGCGTTGATGTGTTTGCTGAATGGTCACTGTAGAATGGTATAATTTCCTTAGTATTTATTGTTTGTGCTGCTCGTTTTGCAATTCAGTTTCAGCGCACAGTCACTCTCACAAGGTGCGAACCTCTCTCTGACGCAGTCCTGCATCACCGATTTGACGCCGCGTGTGCAACGTGTAGTTAAAACACAACTAAAACCTTGTCGGAATGCAAGAAAGACGGTCTGAACATACATAATCTGAACTCAATGGACCCTCTACTCTACTTCTTGTGAGTTATTTGACACAACCAGAGACTAGCTGATTAAGGTTCGATCTGCTCAAGACTTTATGTAATTGCGTTTAAAGAGAAGGTTGAGTTCTGGGAGAGGTGAAACATACTTTTACAAGTAACAGTTTAAAACGAGGCCCGAATTTTTTTTGCCACATGTTTGTGTAGTCCCATATACAATGACGTTGTTCTTTGAGCAGTATCTCGCTTAGTTTTGCTCTTTTTTCTCCCAGATTTTGGTATGTTATAGATTTGGCTATACGAATTGTGCCTTTTGCTTTTTGACCAGGGCCCGTTACATAAAACTTACAATTGATAGTAAATTTGCCATCAATTACAACTACCATGGTAACATGACACAACAGCCAATCAAAATCAAGGTCTCCATGGTAGTTACCATCAATGGTAAGTTTTGTGCAACGGGGCCCCGATGTAAGGATCATGTCGAAAATTCAATTGAACTTTGAAATTGCGACTAAGCCGAGGCCATTTGTCGGCTTCGCAACAGTATAGCCACAATCAGGGTGCAAAACCATTTAAACTTGGATCCAAAAATGAAGTATGCAATAGAGCAGTTTCAGCAACCCCAAATTGTTCATCCATACCCTAGGGTTAATACCCTGCAATATCCTGGAGGAAACTATTTTGGTTATCATTTTATGAACAGCAACACAACAGGGGGTGCTATAGGTATTAATACAGACACTACACAGAGCTACTAAAATGGAATTTTCCAAGCATTATTTATCTTAACACACAAATATTTTGCACTTCTGTGGGGAATTTATTGGCCATTTGTGAAAAATAAAAAAATTCACACTCACTTCAGTCCATAAATTAGATTCGGTATACACATCATAGATAACACAAGGCCAAATCTAATAGTCCAATGGCTTCTATTGGTAAATCAATAATGATAAATCAAAATCGATTTTAGCAACTAAAATCTTGGTGGACAGTTGCCAATATCGATTATGAAGTATCAGTAATTTATCACTGGTTCTTCTAACTGTAGATTATGAATATATCGATTATGAAGTATCAGTAATTTATCACTGGTTCTTCTAACTGTATCGATTTTGTCAAAACCTGAAACTTTTTTAAAAGCCAACCAAACTTTGGTAAATGAGACAAATTCCAAACTTTAGTCCCATCTGTATACATATAAAAAAGCACCAGGAAAGAAGGAAGAAGAGAATAAAAAGGATGACAACCTAAGAAAAAAAAAAGAATACAGAACAGGATAAGAATTAGAAATAAGGAAAAGGAAGAATAATACAATTAAAAAGAGGATAATACAGTACATCATGTAGCATAATCTATGTGATATTAGACATAAGCATGGAAACCCTAGATATTTGAAAATACGAAATTAGAATGTACCTCATTATGTCCTTGTATATTATGTGGTGCATGATTCAATGTGCGTTCGGAGAAGATTGCACTGCATGCGTTGTCCTTGTATCGTATGTGCTGCAGGATATATTCAGTATTTTTAGAACCCAATTTTAGGAACTCGTTAAAATAGCGTTGGAAAATTTTGGGTCATAAAAAGACCACAGTCTGTACTTTATGAAGAGTATTTGTTCAACCAACTTAGTGGTATACTTGTTTCACCTTAGACAGTGTATGCAAAAAAACATCATAAAAAAACATATTAAAAAAGAAGTGATAATTAATCTATATGCAAAAATCATGGTGTAATCAATAATTATTTCTGATACGTTTATTCTATACTCGTCAGATATTTGATCGTTGTTGGTGGTGGCAATTAAACCAGTATTCGTAAAATCCTCAGATATAAATTCAAATGTCGGTAAACAAGTCAAAAGTGACCTCAGTCTATTTTTTCTCTCTCTCTTCATTAAATAGTAAGCTTAATTTATCGAGAGAAATTGTGAGCAAAAACGTAGACAATGAGATATTTAATTATTTATATGTAAATCCCCTCAAAGGGGGTGTCCTCAAAAGAAGGTATTTATCCATAGTCCTCAGGAGACACTAGTCATACGCGTACTGGTGTGCGCGCAAATGTTTATGCGTGTGTGGATATTAACTAAAATGTAGTGACTTATACATTTTGTAGGTAGGCAAGTAAATGATTAAAATAATGTATTTTCTCATGTAACGTACATATTTGATGTCATAGACAGCTTTTACATTGTTAACGTTTATTTTAGAACGCTGTTACCCAGAAAAGGAGGTACAGTTTGGCTTGCATGCCTTGCACGCCTTGATATTACTCATTCTGTAGTGTCCGTAACAAAGATCTGTAGTGTCCGTAACACTGGCTCCTACTCTTTTCTACCCTCTGTATTGAAACTAAAACACAATGATGCATTTAATTTGATACTTTATTACATCTATCTAAAATTGTTGAAATAAAATGTTGAAATTGAAGTCAATTTTTAAAAATCTTAAATTAAATTCATGGAAAATAGCTTATTTGTTTGCGAAATATCATATCCAGGAGAAAACCTTTCAGGGAAAGAGAATTTTTTGTATTCACTGAGAAGAGCACCTGTGTCAAATCAAAGTGTGAATTAAAAATTAGCAGTAATTAGTTATCAAGCTGTACTTTTACACCACCTCACACTTGTGTTACGGACACTACAAATTCCATTCATTAAATCGCAAAAAAAAAACACACACACAACTGTTATGCTTAGCCGAATATTATTATACCACAGCTAGTCCCCGGGGGTAGTTACACAAAGCAAAGTATATAAGAACTTTGAAAACATTGTCATATAGCAGGATTGACACCGTTACGGACACTACAGGAACTTCCGGACAAAATTATGATCGGAATGTTTTCATATATTTTTGTAAAGTTTGTATCTATGTTTGATTTTTTGTTTGTGATGATAAGACATCATGTTACTCAGAAAATACCAACTAGACCTGCAATCGTGTCACAACGATATGCGTGCAATGACGGGCGATGTGGCACTAACGGTCGTCTATACTAACATAACCATAAACAGTATAATATGGTGTCTAAAATGCCCCCTTGACATATTATAAAAACCATTTCAAGGAAAAAAAAATCGTTCTGGGGGCCAAAAGTGTGAACCCGATTTGCCCTATAGACAATGCGTGTAATGCATGGGCGGAAAATGTACAGGATATGTATTATGACCGGATCGACTTAAAAAAAAAATTCTCTCTCTTTATGTCTTTTCATGGCCTTTTTTGGTATCATTGGAAAGAAAATTTCGTGGTTGTTATTGTAAACTACTCTATTTTTTCTCTGATAATCCTATCGAAACACGTGATGCAAAAAAGATTAATAGGACAAAATGGCGTCCAATTTAAAAAAATCCGGCTTCAAGGTGCCCTGCGTATTGCAACTCGGAATGTCACTGCAAATTCTCAGGCAAAAAAGGAGAACGTTTAGGGAGCGAAAAGCAGTCTGAAAAAAATACGTCATAGCCGATACGTGTCATATTCGGACGGAAACTCGGTGGAATTCGTATAGTGACACTTGTCCAAATGCGATGTACTCACAATTTTATGTGTGAACATATACCATACTTGGGGTGCGTTTATCGGGTCTTGCCACTATATATGTACATATCGAACCCCGCTATTGAACCCCACTATAGAACCCCACTCTACGAAAGTTATTTGCGGGATGTCGCGTTTATCGTCTCTTCACGATTTAAAATAAAGGCCTTGTCTCTGCGCAGCTGCTTTGCGCCGTTTGACCCGGGAAGCAGACAGTTTCTCAGAGGTCAACTTCACACACATGCGTGTACACAGCACATGGTGCGCGCTAGTCTTCGAACCGGGAATTAACCTGGGAAGGTCCGATTTGTATGTGGGGTTCAAAACAGCTTTGCGTTTATCATCTCTCAGAAACGTGATTCTGGCTGTATGTCACATTCAAAACACACTTTTTTGCGTCTTTAGATCTGCCCATATCTAAAGACGTTTAAAAAAGGCTTTGCGTTTATCACCTTAAAAATTTGCCTGAAAGACGTTTGAGAAACCTGATTCTAGGCAAAAATTTGGTCAATAAACGCACCCTTAGTATCATTCGAAAGGGCACTTCATTGCAGTCAGTTTGACATCAATGTCTTCTGCGCGCAATGTACTGCACGCATCAAACGCGCTATTACGTAATGCATAGTAAATTCATCATTTTTGGTAATAACTTTCCGCTGACATAATCGAATTTTACCAAACTTGGCAGACAGTTGTCACATATACGGATACATATGTCTGCGAAGGTTCATTGATGTAGGTATAAAGATCGCCGTTTTAGAGCAAGTTGAAGTATTTCGAAATTTTCTTGAAAATGGCTAATTTGTAGGGCAATTTTCTCAAATTTGGTCAGAGTTAAGGTATATAATTTTGTATATGCATGGTTGGGAAGGGCATATCTTCAAGTATCTAAATCCAAAAAAAGGTACGGGTTTGCCAAACCATAATGGAGATACGGCCACAGAAAGAAAGCCAATTCCCAGAACTCTAGAGGGCGCTATTTATGTTCTGCATAACCATTGGAGCGTGAAATTTGACATGGCTGTGTGCAGTCATAACATAAAGATACTGTGAGATTTAAAAAAAAATGGAATTTATATGAGAAAGTTATGGCAGTTTTAGATTTTTAGGGGTAAATTTTTCAAGAATTTTAGAGATTTTTGACGGAGTCGGTTTCATATATATATCTAAAGAAATTTGTTAGAAGTTTGTAGGATCTAGGATAGTGGAGATAGGAAGGAAGAAATAAAGGCCTTAAAATGGACCAGAAACGGATAAAATGGCGCCTGGACGGTTATGCATGAGAGATGTCGAAAATCGAAGAATGTAGTGACCGGGATGAGATGCTAGAGATGATGCCTACGAAATTTGAAAGGAAAAGGACTTGAGGAAAGTACCTAACTAGGAATAACAAGCTCTACGTGCAAAACGAATGGCATTTCCGGACGATAAGGAAAAGGAGGATAAGTATATTAAAGGGGCAGAATGTGAACGAAAACAAGGCAATGACCAACTAATAAAATGCTATAATATATGAATTATAGAGTCAAAATTATGCACAAAGCTGTTTTTCAAAAAAGCGTTACGCTTGTCTCTCTTCACAGAAATAACCACTGTATCGCAATTCTTGGGTCAATTCTCAAGCTGTAAAAAAAATACTCAGTGGATATAAAAAAGGATAACAACATGGCATGAAAAATATGGCATATCTTGTGTATAGTAACACCTTATGAAAAAAGACACATTTTCAAAGTGCAAATTGGTAACAGCCAAAAAGTGGTATTTTTGGCCCTCTATTACCATTCTCACACAACCAACACAAATGAAATTCAAACACAAGTTGCTGCCTGATAAAGAA